TCCCTATTAAATTAAGTGTGTGTTTTTTTTAAGTCTCAACTGTCACAACTGAAAAACACATTCAGTCAAAGCCACAACAAGAACCTGGGCTCTGCAAAGTTTATTCTGTTTTTCCAATATTTGTTATGCCCATACCTTTGAACATATTTATATTTAGAGAAAAATTTTAGTAGGTACTCTCTTTAGAAAATTTTCTTAACTCTAACCCAAGGAAGAAAATAGTTAAAATAAAACCAATTGTAGATCAGAAATAGTCCCATACAGACACATAAATCTATACACAAACATACACATGCTCTCATGCTAGCAGACACACAGAACATCTCAGTTGTCACTTATAAGAAGTAGTAATGAGCCATTAGGAAAAGAACACCCAACTTTCCTTTCTTCTATTCAGTTCTTATGTGTATGCAGGTTTGTACACAAACATTATTAGTATGAGGATATATCAAGGGTTGTATTTTTTTTTAAACTTCACCAGAGAATATTTTTTCAAGTGCTTTTCAGAGAGAGTGGAAGGGAGAGAGAAAAATATCAATGTGACAGAGACACACTGATCGATTGCCTCCTGCACAGCCCCGACCAGGGCCAGGGATCGAGCCTGCAACCCAGGTACATGCCCTTGGCAGGAATCGAACCCAGGACCCTTCTAACCACTGTGCTCTAACCACTGAACCAAACCAACTAGGACAAGGGTTGTATTTTTCAAAAAGCATCTAGCAAACAAGAATTTTATAAAAATCACACTGTACTTGTACCAACTGAACATGTGTCCACTTAAATTAATGTGAGCCATGTTAAAACCTGTTATAATGTAATTAAAAGTATAAAAGTTAAAATACCAGTGAATACCATACATTTCAATCAGCACACACTTAACAGATGAGGGGTCAAATTGATTTTTTAAATGTATTAGATTCTATTTACAAAACAATTCCAACAGCACATTCAGAGGCTCACTCGATCATCGACCCCCCCCAGCCCACCCCCTCACACCTCACATAGTCATGTAGGTGTCCACCCATCCAATGCTATCGGAGTCAGGAGACTATCTGAATATCTGACTCAACTAATCGCCAGGTCTCCCCCCACCATGCACTGATCACCTCCCTCCGTTGGGAGGTACACTGTCCAGAGAACCTTCTGCCATGATGGAAATGTTTCACAACTGTGCTCTCCACTAGGGTGTTACGTGGGGCTCATGAGCTCTAAAAATGTGCTAGTCTGAGTTGAGATGTCTTGTAGATGTAAAAGGCATACTTGATTTCTGACTTAGTGCAAAAAAGGTACAATGTTTCAGTAATAATGTTTTATAATACTCATTACATGTGGAAATGGAAATATTTTCTGTAAGTTGGGTTAAATTAAATATATTAAAATTAATGTCACCTGCTTCTTTTACCTTTTTAAATGTGCCTGTAGAAAATGGAACATGGTGTATGTGCCTGCCATTTGTAGCTTGCATTCTCTCTCTCTTGGGCAGCACTGCTCTAGACTGGGAACTTGCTCACTCTGCGATTCCATTCTACAGGTATTAATTGAGCACCTACTATGTGCCAGACACTGGATTTTTATGCTGAAAGTTGTGCCATTCATCTCTGCATCTTCTAGCCCTAGTAGAATTGCCGGGCATGTTGGTTGAACTTACTGATTTAAGGACCCATTCAGTTTCTAGCTGTTAGAGCGCTTCAGAAATGGAATGTGCAGTAATAATACTGACAGGACTTTTATGTTGTTGATATACAGTAAATCCACAGGCTAAGTGTATTATTATTTATTTAGTCATTCCCATGGGTTTTGTACTGGATCTATTTAGTACTATGAATAGCTTTCCCCAAATGAACTTTCTTGCTTCTACCCCCAACCTCTTGGGTTATTTCCTCAGGATCTAGTTCCCAATGGGGAATTTATGAGTCAATGGTAATACACAGCTTTGTTTTGTGTTTAACTCTTATGATTTATCACCAGACTGTAGCAAAAAGACAATGTACAACACTGCCAACACTTATTAACACCCCAACCAAAACCCGACCATCATTATTTCTGGTAATCTAAGACAAAGTAGTATTACTTTTTCTTTCTTGAATTGCTGGCGAGGGTACGCTCCCGTTCTCACAAAGATATTGAGCCTCCAGTTCCCTATACTCACCCCTCCTAACCACATTTAAGGAGGACTTCGGGTACTGACCTTTGGTACCTCAATTCTTTATATTTTAGATGATAACCATTTAATCTTTTCAATTGTCCCATTATTTTTCCCTGTGCTACGGCATTCCATTTAAAAGGTATTTGATTGCCTTTGGCCGGGCTATTTTTCTTTCATTCTTTAGCAAGTCAGGCGCATCTGTCTTGCGTATGATGATTTTGTCTATTGCTTCAGTGGCCCTACGTTTATCTTCCCTGTACAGCTGGGTGAAAAAGCCTACTCCATTTTCTTCGTTATTTTACAGATAAATAAGAGGAATCCAACAGCAGAAGCCTGTGCACTCTGAAATTAATATACTTTTTAAACTGCAGAACCTTCTGGTATGAATGAAATCTGCTCAGCCAGTTCTCAAGGTAGAACTGTCCCCATCATAAAATGACAGATGTCACAAAACAGCTACCCTTTTCCAATCAGAGTGAAGCTGGACATGACGTGTGAGAATGAACACTTCCAACTCTTCTTTCAGTTCTCTCGATCGCCAGTGTTTCTACATACTTCTCAACAAGCTCACTTAAAATTCATTTTCAGCAAGAAAGGTCATCGATAGACAAAAGCAATCACCTGAAAAGAAATACCATTGCCTGGGAGTACAAAAAAAAAATTAATGGCTATGGAAACATTTTGCCTAATTATTTTTCATATAATGAGACTCTCTGGGAAATTACAACAATCCCCCTGCCCAACAGATGGAAAATGGAGGAACCCCCCCAAAAAAATAGCATATATGTAACTGTTTACAAAGTTTAGATCATACTAGATAATGTTTTACATATCTATATATGTAACTAATACAGAAGAAAAAAAACTCAGAAATGAATTCACTGAAATATTAACAGTGGTCATCTGAAGGAAGGGAGGATTACAGGTAATTCTGATTTTCATCTTTAGACTTTTTTTGCAAAGACACTTGTATTACATACTTTATATAATTAACATTTTATATATATACAGACACACAAAAACATACTTTTATTCTTTTAAAAATTAGGCTTTGTAAAAAACAGGTGGAAAAGATTTTGGCATTATATCGAATCAAATGCTACTAAAAATCAAGCTAAAGTATCTCAACTTTTACTGAGGCCCCTGCTCACTAAACACAAGCACCCCATTTTTTTCATACGTAAGAAGCCTCCTATCATCACTATAACAGTAAATCTATCAGAGATTCATTAAAATAGAGTTAAAAGAATTCCCCAAATACCAAGAACTTTCAAATCTTTTTCTTTTTGTTTTAAGTCTCTAAAGTACTTGCAAGAAATATCTGCAATGAGGTTTACATAAAAGTGACTTGATGGTATTGTGGTTAAGTTTTTTGTAAGTCTTTACCCGTTAGATAAATATTGAAGCATTTACTGGCAATGTTAAAAATGATGAAATATTTAAGATCTCCTTAAAATACTCTAGCAACAACAAACAACACTGGTGGGGAAAATAGATAAAACAAGAACAGAAGGTTGGAAGTGTTGAGTTGGGTGATGGGTACCATTTTTCTATTCTACTTGGTGTTCAAAGTTTTTCCATAATACCGTTTTTTGAAAGGTGCTATGAAAAACCAAAAGTGATATATATATACATATGCACAACCTTCCTCATATCCTCCAATGTAGCAAAAGTAAACTCAGAGCCAAACACTTTTTTTTTTTTTTTTACAACAGGGAGTCTACTTGAACGGGAGCATATGACTGCACCTTTTCTTAATTAGGCAATAAAGGGCATGTGCACATGCAAATCTACCAAGAAAAAATAAGCATCTTTTATTTGCATCTATAAATTTGATTCAGAAGATTTCAGATTTTCTTTCCTGGGCTGCAATCAGATGAAGGTAGTCAGCTGATTCAACCCTACTTGGCTCGTGACATTTGAAAAATAAGATGCAGGCTGACTCCAGCAGCAGCAAGATGCTATTCCCGGTCACCTTCTTCACACAGGGGACAGGCTACTTCTCTAAGAGGACAGGCTGGTGCCTCAGCACTCAACAGAAGTTAGGCAACCACTACCAATATCACTTCTTTTATACAGTCTGTTCTTAACCATAGTTGCAAAGAGTGATGTGAATCCTGAGGATCTGGGATCCCCAAACTGATGACTTCCCAGTGTATCAAAGTAGGACAAAACACACCCCAACCTGTGTTCACAAGGCACTTCCAGTTGGAGGGATTTCCTGTGCATCATCACAAGTGAGCCTCGAATCTCCCATGAGAGGTTGGTATAGACTGTCTTATCCCCATTTTACAGATGCAGAAACTCAGGTTCAAAGCTGTTAAAAGATTTGCTCTCAAACAACAGAGTCTTCCGATTCCAAGGACAATGTTCTTTACGCTACCCAACCCTCCCCGCCCCTGGAGTGCGTCTGTGACAGTAAGGAGGAGGCGAGCACTTCATAGAGGGAAGAAAGGCAGAAAAGTGGGGAAATCAGCTTTAGCCCTAACTCCTCCTGAGTTTCAAAACACCCTTAATTATTTCCTGACTGCCCATTACTTTGTACTATCTATTCTCTGCTATGATCATGGGGACTTGGACTGTACTTCTGCTTACATCCATGTTTCTGCGGGCTTGCTTTCTCTGCCTTCTGAGCCCCGACTGAAGCCTTCTAACAGCTCACTTAACCTAAGAAACACAGAAATACTTTTTTTAAACCAGGAGGGACTATCATGGCTATGTGGATGAGACATTTGCTGCTGGTCCTCTCTCTCTCTGTCATCGAGATGGTATGAAGGAAGAGAAGTTGGCAGAGAAACAGTCACAGCCCTCAACTCCCATGGACCACTTAACCTCGTAGGAGAGCAAAGCCTACCTCTCTGACTTCGTGAAGCTGGCCGGAGTACTGACTCTTGGCTCTTCGGGCAGCTGCAGGCGACTTGTGATGCGTGACTGTGACAACACCGGGGGCCCCCACACCGAGGTGTCTCTGGCTACAGGGAGACGCAGAATTGGGTGTTCCATGGGGGAGCAAAGTGAGGCTTCGGCTTCGGGAGCTTGGAGTAGTCTAGAATGAGCAACAGGTGTCAAAACTCAACAACCAACCTGCAGAGCACAGCCAAGCGTTGGCTTCTATTTATTTGGGGCCTCTTAACCTCTCCCCTTCGCCTGTTTAGAGAAACGAAGGCATGAGGAAGGTACAACAACACTACATGCCCAAATCCCACACTCACTCATCCAAGAGACAATTTCCATTAACTAGCCTTATGATCTCATCCCCAGTGTGTCTCCTGCCCCACACCATGGCCATGAAGAGCTACTGAGAGTCCCCGCAAACACCACGGGCTCTCAGGATCTGCGCCTTTGCATTCACTAGCTCCTCCTCCTAGAATGTCCTTCCCCTCCTGGCCCGCAAACTTCACGTGAACCTTGAAGACTCAGCTCAGCGTCCTCTGTTGTGTGAAGCTTCTCCCTGTCTGTCTCAGTCTCTCCCCTGCTCTCACTCCACTGCATGAGACTATACCCATTGCCTAGTTACTTTCTTAAGGTATTCTTTCAAACTCATCTTTATATCCCCAAGACCCGGCACATAATGTTTAATTTATTAAGCACTTAATAAATGTCTGCTGCATAAGTGAATGTACAAAGTCATCCACCAATTAATCCTCATTTGTTAGTATTGAGCTTATATTTTATCCTAAGATAATATATAATCCAAATAACAACTTAGAACATGGTGAAGATGGCATCTCAACTTAGTGGAGATGAATCTTTTTAACCCTTTGTGGTCGTATTAAATTTGGACATGGGTGTCGTACTGGTCGGAATTAATTTCCATTGAAAGAGCAGTGATACATAACATGCAAGATTATGAAGGGTAAACAAGATTTATGAACTGATACACGAATGAATAGAGTTAAGATTCATACGGTTCCTTGCTGTGGTGGCTGAGAGCAGACATACGACCAGAACGGTAAAAACGGTAAAAAAGCTTTGGTGGCTGAGAGTAGACAAACGACCGCAACGGGTTAAACTAGGGCAAGGTGTAGACAGTTCACAAAAAAGATAAATGGCCCTTAAGCCATATGAAAACATGTTCACTATACTCATAAGATCAATGCAAAGTTAAGCCACATTTAGATACCATCCTTCATTCATCAGACTGGCAAAAATCCAAAAGTTTGAGTCCACAGCCTGTTGACAGGACGACAGGACGACAGGGCTTGTGGGAGCAGAAGGCGGCAACCACCTGTGATGAGGTCAATCTGGCAGGACCCGTAGCAGTTACAGTCGCACCTCCCTGTGACCCAGCAACGCCCTGTGTGGGACTGTACGCTCCAATACTCCCGCACCCAAGTGAAATGGCATATATCTCCATTGGGTTTCATGGCAACGTACAAGAAACGAACCAAATGCCCAGCAGTATGGGACAGGTTAAGTGAAATACGGTGCGACTACACAGGGGGACACTACCAAGGTGTAACAGAATAATGACACAGGTCTCTGAGGTGGTTGGGGGTAAAAATATCTGAAACTATATAGTTAAGTGAAAAAAGCAAGGTGCACAACTACTCTACATACAGTATGCAAAGTTGCATCAAAATGTGGAAAAATGAGTATTTTTATTGTCATCTGTTTAAAATACAAAAAAAATACTCTAGAAGGATACACACACAACTTAAAAAGCTGACATCTGTGGAGAAACAGAGAAATGACAGAGTAGGTGCAGAGAGAACAGGAGATTTTTCACTGTAGAGTTTATTTTTATATTCTTTCATTCTGAACCATGTGAATGTATTACCTACCCAAAGTTTTTAATTCTACATAAAATTTACATTCTAAACGCTCCTATACCTCATTTCAACTTGAGAAAAGGCAGATGATGTGCTGGATTCATGCCAGTTTTGTATTTCAATGAGCAGATATTTACTGAATACCTACTATGTGCCAATGGGAGTGTCTACAAGGAGAAACATGAGATGTTTCACCATAGATGCTTATGGTATTGCTAGGAATATATATATAAGACACACAAACACTGAGACAGAAACACACACACACACACACACACACACACACAGGAAGTGCATACATGGTGCTAATTTGGCCGTAGAGCCAGAAAATGCCAGAGAAGTGAGGAAGAGAAAGGTCAACGAGAGTTGGCTTCATCACAGAAGGCTATGTGAAGGACACGAAGCCTGAGCAGGATTTGGAAAGACAGAGAGACACAGCAGCAGTGTACAAGGACCCAGTCAGGACATTCAAAGCATTCTTAGCTCCCCTCCTTGGGTAACAGTCATAGCTCTAAAAATTGTTAAATGTTAATAGCCTGCAACTTTACAAATCTCCAAAAGGTTGAGGAGCAGGGTGGGAGCCAGGGTCAAAATCAGAATTTTACAGTACACCCTGCAATGCCACAGTAGCTTGTAAAGGTTCTCTGGGTCTGGATTTGAATATAATTAATAGGAATACAGATAAAGTTGGAAAATAGTGCATTGCTTTTAAATAACATTAGGTAACTGGAGAAATCTGTGGTCCAAGAGTTACATAAACCTTGATTACAAGAAAATACAGCAATCATCTACTTTTGGCCTCAGTCTTTTCACTTGAAGTGTGGAGGGGGAAAGAAGCTATTTTTTTTTTAATCCTTTAATGACAGTACATTTGCCAAAGCATTAAGAGTCTACTAAGATACATTTTGATTGTTCGGGGGGGCTCATTCCAGCCTGAGAAAAGGCAGATTTTTCACTGAAGCCAGACAGACAAGTTTCACTCCCCCAGCTCCTAGCTGTGTGACCTCACGAGAGTTATTCAAGCCTTCTTATTAAGCATCAATTTCCTAATCTTTAAAACAGGAATGATAATATTGAGCCTTAAAAGCCACCATGAATATTAAATTAGATCATGCAGGTAAAATGCTTAGCACAGTGCCTGGCGTGTGGGAGCTGTGTGGCCGAAGTTTCTTTCTTTCTTTACATCACTTAATGCTTGATCGATGGAGACCTTGCTGATTTTTAAAATATTAAAAAGTCACTTAATGCAAAATCATAAGCAGTGACTGACCTGCTCTTTATTTTTTATGGAATCAAAGTGCTGATGAAGCCCAAAATATAATTAAATACTTACTGGAGAACCTGTATGGTCAGCAATTAAATCACAAGATTGGAGAGGGGGAAATACTTCCAGATTCTGAGTAGAACGAGAGCCATCAGAAATTAGAGACGAGGAGAGCTGTGGCAACGGGCGCCTTCGCTTGGAACAATATCACGGTAAGTGGCAATAAATCAAGAAATTCACCCAGGAGCCAAATTGTTCCACTGTGGACATCTAACTCCATGGTCATTATTTAACGGCTGTCATTTGGATTCACAAGCAGTAAATTTGAGTTGAAAAACCTGTAATTTGCCATTAACTGTGGGGTTCTCGCAGTTTAATTCACACGCAGACCTCCTCCCCGGGTTAAATGAGCAAGAGAGTCCCACCCTTGGCAAATCCCATAGGTCACGAGGCACCGGGACAAATAGAGAGATGGCAGCTAACTGCCACCGCTATAAACGAGTGGGGTCTTTCCCAAACACAACCTGTATAAAATTTCCAGGTTCTGTGCTTAAATGTCAAACACACTCATTCTTGCTATTAATTTAAAATAAAATATTATCAGCGTTTGAGGAACAACATGGCAGGTTTTTGCTCCAAATATTTACTTCAATATTTGTAGGGGGCGACTAGAAATGCCAAGTATGCCATCTGCGGAAAATTCTGATCAAGGGTAACCGTTCTGTTCGGCAGCGAGACTCACCCTTTCCCTGGGAGGTCGGCCCGCCCCGGCCTGCTCAGACAACGAGGGAGCGGGACAAAGGGCTGCCGCTCAGATCCCGCCCAGGCATTCAGCACGCGACCGGGCCTCAGGATGTTTGCCAGCCTCGTGCATTGTCCCTACGTTCACTGGACTCATAAATTCCCAAAGGTTTCAAGGAAGACACACACTCACACAGACACACACAGAGTATTTACTGGCCAAAACTGGCACGAAGAAAAGGTGTGACTGGAAAGAAAGGGAGAGCAAGTACTAGAAAGAGAACATCGAGCCAGGGAGGGAGCATGAGCTGGAGGGAGAGTCTAGTCTGGGGGCTTAGAGCAGAATCCACTGGACTACCCGGAGGCCTCCACCGCGTTCCGCTGTCTAGGAAAACAGCAAGGAGATCTCGGCCTACAGGGCAGTGTGGGGGAGCGGTCAGGGGCCCCAGTGCTAAACTCGGGGGCCTGGGGTCAAATTTGGACTCTACCACTCATGAGCTGTGTAGCCTAGGAAGGTAATGTGGTGTTTTCATTTCAATGTTACCACTTCGTCGGGTTGTTAGAGAATGTAATGAGGAGACTGGTAAACATATGCCACTCAGTCAGCGTGCAGTGAATGTCATCATCATCATTCAGAAATTCATAAAAATGAGGCCTCTCGGCACCAGGGTAGTGCAAGGGTAAGTAGTCCCAGAGTCAAACGCTGTATGGACTTAAAGGCTGTTTTTGCCAACAGTGCCCTAAGAAGATATAACTTGACTACTTCCTTCACTTTTTTTTTTTAGAGGTAAAGTCAAAGTAATCATTCTAATTATTAAAAAGTTTGCTTCAAAGAAAAGGTACATTTAAAATATGAATTCACATTTTCAAAAGCCCACCTGTTGTAGAACGCTAAGTGCCTGTAGATTATTCCAGTGCTGGGTACCAAAGATAAAGGACCACTTTAAGCAAGTGATGGGCAATTTCCCATTAATATTTGAGAACAAAATACCAAACCCCAAATTGAAAAAATAATTAGTTGGCCCTAAAAATCGCTTAAAACATGTATCTAAAGTTTATAATAGACTTGCTGAAGCTCAAATTAAAGAGCTGAAAAGAAAGGGGAAAATATCTTAACTATACATTGTGGCAACCACTTCTACTGTACAAAATTTTACTAATGGGAAAAATTACTGAGGGCCAATTAATTATAACAGCATTCATATGACATTTAATTTGGAGCATGTTTTCTTCACTTCCTTGAATTCTTTCACAGTGAAGGAGAAAAGA